CACGATTTTTTTTTTTTTGAAATCGTGAGGAATTACGGGCTACGCCGAGTATGTCTACATTACATGGCCTTAAATTCGTACGATTCCGTGTGATTTCGCACGGCCACCGTCTACCTCCGCTCAGATGCCGTTCGAAAAGGGTATCACGGGCAATATACGTGCACCGTACGGGCATCACATTACAAATGTAATCTAGGCTTTACCTGGTCTGCTCCGTTAAACCATGACACCCTGCGATAAATCAACGTAATTGCAATAAAATAAATAAATAAATAAAATAAATAAATAAATAAAACAAGACAAAAAGAATATAAAAATCTAAAGAAAGAAGGGAAGAAAATTTGTAAAAAATTAACACAAAAATTACTTTTAGTGTTTAGATAGCTCAAACAACGTAAGCGTGTGATTTGTGAGTAAAATTTACCAAATGATATACTGTACACGTATCGTTAGAGAATAATTCTGACGACTATTTTTTATCAGATAAAGCGTTCCTCACGTCCTCATTAAATTCTGCGATAACAGTATGCATCATTTGAATAAGAATACTCCTATTATAATGATGACTGTCAGATAACACTTGACAATTTTTTGGTAAAAACTAAAGAAAGATCTAACGTAAGTAACACTTTTTATTCATTGTGGCGGCCAAGCGTTTATTTACACAAATTGTTTCGACTCAAGAGGATAAAATCAGTCTAAATTTCAGACGCCATTAAAGCTGCTGTAACCAGCACAGTGAATCCGTTATCAATGGCTCATCACGACCAGCGTGTGTTGTTTTCATGGCGGGAGAAAGTTCTCGGTCCTCTTAAACTTAGGGCGGACTTTTCTTTGTCAGGCAAAAAGTATAAGTAACAGATAAAAACTACCATGGAAATGACCGTGCGATGTTACACCACCTTCCAAACTAGTTAGCACTGTAGCCTGTAGCACGTTTCAAAATAACTGACCTATATGTATGTGGTTGGCGTAAGTTGTTACATGATGTATTTGTACCATTTTTGAAACATTCAATATTCTCAGCTCTTTACAGGAAACATCAACTGAGATCACTCTGATTATATCACTATCGTCCATTTCGCCGAAAGAGGGCACCACTTCAATATGACGTCAAATTTTCAGGAAATGAATACAAACTCACTAACGCTTGTTTCTAAATCAAATCCGCGAATTTTCTTTCGGTTCAACGCCAACTTAAAGTATTTGGCAATTAAAATATAAGTTCTCCGCTGTGTACTTAGGAAGATACACGCGTACTGGCAGGCAGTTTGTCATGTTAATTGACTTATAAGAAGCCATTGCCGAGAATATTACTTAAGTTTTAAAAACATAATATACGTATGTGGTTGGCGTTAGTTGTTACATGATGTATTTGTACCATTTTTGAAACATTCAATATTCTCAGCTCTTTACAGGAAACATCAACTGAGGTCACTCTGATTATATCACTGTCGTCCATTTCGCCGAAAGAGGGCACCACTTCAATATGACGTCAAATTTTCAGGAAATGAATACAAGCTTACTAACGCTTGTTTCTAAATTAAATCCGCGAATTTTCTTTCGGTTCAACGCCAACTTAAGGTATTTGGCAATTAAATATATAAGTATCTGTACTTTGGAAGAAACACACGTACTGGCAGGCAGTTTGTCATGTTAATTGACTTATAAGAAGCCATTGCCGAGAATATTACTTAAGTTTTAAAAACATAATATACCATATCTTATCAAAAAGCATATCAAAGATTTGCAAGTAAATAAAATAAATGAATAAATAAGTAGAAAAAAATATATAAAGTATTGAAGTCAGAAAGGTAAAAACGTGCAAGAATATTATCCACGAGAAGACGAAAGCATTCTCCTCTCCATATCTCCAATCATCAAGTTACAGTTTAAGACATTCATTTTACGCCATCCTAAACAATCCAAATATTTTGTGAGCATTTCCTTTAAAATCAAAACTATTACAGATGCATCCAGTTTGTCATAAAATATACCACATTCGCACATCAATACTCACACTGCACGTTAGCTGTTAACATATTTCTAGCAGGATTTCGAAAAGTATACTACGAATTAAACATTCAAATGACTCCTTAAATCATAAATAGATAGCTGAGAGCTATTATGCAAGGATGAACTTAAGAAGACAATATTACTGCAACAACAACATTATATTGAACATAACAACGCAAAGTAGACTTATCTAAAATTTGCGTGATCGCTTAACTGTACGTCCTTTTAGTTATTCTATCTTACAAACATAATCTTCAACGCTTTCCTAATATAAGAAGCTTACAGATTACAGTTATTATAAGTACATAAATCGCAGGATGTCAATGACTCAAATTTCTTTTTTTATATTCCCCGGGTGCCTCCGTTAATGATTTCGCACTGATGGACAAAGTAAGCACTGATGAGAAAAGATATACAAAGCAGCTGAAGATAAAGATTTTTCCGAGGTCTAAATAACACACGTATGGCGTATATCTTATTATGAGGTGAGACCTTTCATAATCATTTATTTGGCAACCAATTAAAAACTCTTAATGTTGTTCAAGTACGCTAATATGTGATCATAAGCATAAAATGTACAGATATTGTAAACGTACTTGACTAATAGCTTCCCTGTGTGTGTGTTCTAAGTCACGCGAAGCAAAATTACCACTAGAATTCATGAATTAATATCTGAATAAATTCCTTATCAGTTTCAGTTGTCCTTTGCTTAGCATTTCGTCCCCGAGACGGAGTCTTTATTAAAAACCCCACTTAATCCTTTGAGAGGAGTATAATTTGCGGGGGGACCTTAACATTTGGGACATTATTTGGCTGATTTAATCTCACGCTTCGGAGTCTAGAATAAGGAAGAGAATCCACGTATATCATTAGCACAAATTAGGTTTAGGAGTAAAAATGGAATTGATAGCCTCGGCGTAAACGATCGCTGTCGCCCGAGGAGGCAGGAGGAAGTGAAAAGGGTATTACGGCTGAAGTCATCATCTTTCAGGTCATTCGTTTACCACCTGGTGTTACACTCACACGGACATCGACAGCACTTGATTTCATCAAAAGCACTGGGCAGTATTGTTGTTATCCGACCCGAACAAGCAAAAACATGGCGCTAGTTTGGCTAGCCTTTTCTCTACTTGCTGTCTGCGCCTCCGCCAACCACCTAGAAGCAGGCGCCGCTCCAAGTCCAGACGGATATTCCGACTACACTGACTACGCCACAACCGGTATCCCAGGGACGCGTAGGGACCAGCTAGCAAGCTATGGGCTAGATGAGCCACCGCTGCCACAGTATTCTCCACTCGGCGCCCCGTCGGCTGGGCCCTACGCTCCCCAAGGTCAGTACCCAGGCGTAGCTCCTCAGTACAGCCCGTATGCCCAGCCCGGTCTCCCAGTCGGTGGTCCGGGGCAATATCTGACAGCACCCCCGGGAGGTCCTGCCCAGCAATATGGAGGTGTCCTGGGTGTCTCCCCGACCGGACAATACCAGGGTCTACCTGCCGTAGGTCAGTACCAAGGACTCCCGGCGGGCCCCGCTCCCGGTGGTTACAACGCCGGCGGACAGATCCCAGGAGTCAGCTACGGAGGTTTGCCAGGAAGCTTTGGAACCCCACAGTTCACAGGCGGGGCACCTGCTGGTGTTCCCGGGGTAGTCCCCAGTCCCACGCAATACACGGGCGGCGCACAGTACGGCCAAATCCCAGCAAATGGCGGCGGGTATACTGCCAACCAACCTATCAATACAGTACAGGGCCCTTACCAAGGCGCGGTGCCAAGTTATAACACCCCACAGGGCCCCCCTCAAGGCCAGTATCTCGGCTCCCAAACTCCCTATGGCGGAAATCAGGGTAGTATTCCAGGTTTGTACACGGGATCTATAACAGGGGGTCAGGGTGGATATGGTAGCGTGCCCGCCTACAACGGCGGTCAGGCTGTAGCTCCTGTCTATAATGGCGGCCAGGGGGCTTTGACAGGCTCCCCTAACTACAATTTGGGCGGCCAAGGTCAGTTTACCGGCGCTCCGACTTACAATGGCGGTCAAGGCACATTTACAGGCGCTCCCAGTTATACAGGAGGCCAGGGTTCCTACACGGGCGTACCAAGCTACACAGGCGGGCAAGGTACTTTGACTGGTTCTCCAAATTACAATGGCGGCCAAGGTTCTTACACAGGCACTCCAACTTATAATGCTGGACAACAAGGCCAATATACAGGCACTCCGAGCTACAATGGCGGACAAGGCACCCTTACAGGCACACCCACTTTAATTGGCGGACAAGGGTCTTACACGGGCGGACCAAGCTACACGGGCGGGCAAGGTACTTTAACTGGTTCTCCAAATTACAACGGTGGCCAAGGCACCCTTACAGGCAACCAGGGGCAATACAACACTGGCGTCCCTAACTACAATGGTGGTCAAGTCCCAAGTTACACCGGAGGTCAAGGCCAGTACACAAACACACCAAGCTACAACGGCGGCCAGGGCACGTTAACCGGTACCCCAAATTATAATGGTAATCAAGGTACCTTGACTGGATCCCCCAGCTATACTGGCGGCCAAGGCTCGTACACTGGAGGCAATAGCTACACGGGAAACCCAACGAGCAATTACGGCAACAGCGGGCAGATCGGTGGTGGCTATCAACGGCCTGTCGCCAAGTACAACAGTCCCAGTCCGATCTACAGTCGCAGTCCCTATGGCGTACAGACTCAGAACGGATACAGCCCGTACGCTGCGTACACCGGCGCCTACAGTAATCTCCCAGGAGCAGCACCGCGTACAAATACGTACACTTTAAACAACGTGAAACCGTCTCAGTTTACACAGACTGGCTTAGGAAACAACTTTAACCCAGCTCCGCCTGGCACTCCTATCTATAACGGCGTCCCTGTTCTCCAGAACAATGGCTCCCCTTCTAACACACCCTCTGGGACATCGTCCAGCAGTTATTCACCGAACAACGTGGGCGGAAGTCAATCCAGTCTGTACGGTAATCAGAACAGTTACTCAAACCCCAGCACCAATTATGGAACCAGTCCATACGGCCAACAGAACAGCAATCAAGGACGATAGACTTGAGATAGAAAAGAGATGAAAATAAAACTACAAAGGTATAGGAATGAGCGGCTCTGATGGTGATGCATGAAAGTTATCTGTATAAAGGTGATAGGGAAGACTGCTTCTTGTCCATTAAACAAAACAATTTTGATGTATTTCTGTAGGATTTTTTTTTCTTAAAAAGCAGCTTCCCTAGTGTGATTTATGATATGAGCCAAGTGGCAAGGCGCACCTGAATCGTCGCCCTGTGCCGCACTGTTTATAAACGAAGTATAGGATCGAATGATGAGTTGAATCGTGGATCGACCGAACTCACTACTCAAACTGGACTTGGAATTATAAGGAGGCATCTGTTAATATTAAAGATATTGTAATTTCAACTCTCTGTTCTTATTGAATTGTAGTTTCAATTTCCAATTGTTAAAAAGTCCTTTGCTTAACACAGCGAATTTTCTGCCCATGGGGCCTTTCGCAGATTTTAATTCATTTTCCAGTTTGCGTAATGGCATCTACTATTATTATAATTCATTTGGAAAGTCAAAGCCCGTCTTTAGCTCCCGTCTATAGAGAATAGCTTGTCTCTCGTCTATGTTATGTGCCACAATCCAACATAAACATGGCACGTAATTTCATGGTTGTACTACTGCACGAAAGGACCTGTGAGCAGAAAAAAAAGATAAGAAATTTCGAATAATTTGCGTTTCGTGTCTCTACTTAATCGCAGAATAATTATCTTGGACTGTACTTATAATTACACACTAAGCCACTTTCCTTGTTGAAGTATGCGATAATGAACTGTAAAATGAAAGTTTTATGCCGCTGACTTCGTTGCTTCCCTGACTCGTCTGACGAGTGTGAGAAAAAAACTAAAGCAAGGCCCGAAATAGTATTGCATAACTGTATTCTTGTATGAGAATCAACCACATATAAAGAGTAGTTGTTAATTAATAGTGTTAAGCTATTTTTCTCCGACTCTGGAATGAGAAATGTGTGTTAATTAATAGTGTCAAGCTATTTTTCTCCGACTCTGGAATGATAAATGTGTGTAAATTAAAACCAGCTTTGATTCTCATCTTTAGTATATCTGTATAATTCTTTTCAGTATTATTTATGTATTTCAAAGGTGTTATTATTATATGTAATTAAATCATCTTCGGTTTGTATTCTTCGTTTGTTTTTTTATCACCTGGCAAAATAATATCAAGTAAAATAAGTTGTCACGAATAGCAATCAAATATATCAAATTTCAAATTGGTCTTGAAAATGTTCAAGCATCTCTCTCTCTCTCTCTCCGCTCCGAAATAGCATAATGCAAATAATTTTTTTTCCGATAATCTGTCCGATTTCAACGAATCTTGGCAATTTATATAATATTCTTGCCGTCCCATCTATTTAACCGATTCATTTAATTAACTAATTACATGGCTTCGATAGACAAAGATAGATTAACCTGAAAAGCTTTTGATAATTTATGCAAAATATTATCATTCGAAAAGTTCAATAGTTGAATTTTCATCTTGCAGCAGTCAAAGTGTTCTCCAATGTAATAATACATATTTGCATGTAGCTCTCTTGTCTTTAATTTTAATTTGTTTTGGTAACTTTGTGTCGTCTACTATCAACAATGAATCGATATACAGTACAGCTATTAAGGGGCGGATCCAGAGCTATTTTCTGACAGTCTTCCAAATAACCAGTATCTTTGTTGATCCATCCTCCAGTTTTGACCGTCTTCCGACAGAAAAAAATTAGATACCCGTCAATGTAAACTTGAAAATCTGACCGTCTTCCAGAAGACCCAGAAGACAACCTCAATCCGCCCCTGCTATTGTTGACGGATAAAGGTGCATTCGGTATTAGCATTATAGAACGTATATTTCTAAAGCTCAAAACACCGAAAAATGTCAAATGCACCTAAATACAACGCAATACTAGATCACACAGGGGAGGAGGAGTCGTACGATATGGGGGCGGGGGGGCGGGGAGACTATTTTTTGGAATGGAGGTGCGGCTGGTATAAAAAATATGATCAAAATTCGTATTATGCCACAAACCTTTTGCTTACGTTGCCTCAAAAGAACGCACTTATTTTACGTTCAACACTTCAAATGTACGTGCTTGCCACCAAATACGTCTAATTTTGTATGAAATTAATATCTTCTGTAGTTATCATTTCGCTATGGTACTTTAAATAATATATATTCAGTTGCTGTAACTCTAATACTTCTACCCAACAATTAAAGTGACATTTTGTAGTACTTTTTGACGTGGGATATATTGTTCGCTGGAACATTTCTATACATTTTTCAAATCATCTTTAAATTAAAATAAACCCCCAAATATAAGGTTAAACGGCAAACAAGGACCAGTTTAAAAATGATAATAATAATAATAATAAAACTAAAAATAAAAAGAGTGCTATAAGTAACAGGGCACCTTTGCACGTGTACGTGTGCGTGCAGTAGTGTGTGTGTGCGTGCACGCAATATTCAGTGATTGCATTTGCCTATCTGGTCATAGCAGTTTTTCTCAGTTATTGCTTTCCCGTAGATAAGACCTCCCTAATGAATTGTTCCAACGCTTTTGAAGTGTTACAAAACAAAGGACAGTCCTGTTACGCTTTCGCGAACCGTGCAAGGTGATCTCGACAAGATCTGTTCATAACGGCAGAAACGTGCACGCCATTTTCTCATTACAATGCAAATTCCCATTCTCGAAAACCCTATGGTTTGTACATTCATCTGTGTACTTAGATATTTACTTTATTTTCATATTTATTCATGCAGTCATTCATTATTTATTCATTTATTGCCCATTCTACAATTTAAGAAATTCGTGTTTTTAATTGGTTACAGAAAAAAATCAAACCATCAAAATTTCAAGGTGGTGTGAGGTATGAGTATCCCTTTAAATTTTGAGAAACGAGTAGACATACATGTATATTATTTTTGGGAATCAATCAAAAAATATAATTTTTGACAACAGAAAATTAAGACCGTTAGCTGCATGTGCCAAAGAATTTACAAACCCATAAGATGATGGATAGTAGGTTTCATGTGCGTAAACTTCGGTGTACTTTAAAACATCACACAAGCAATAATAAACCATTTCCTCAATTTCAGTGACTCATCGTCGTGTTGTAAGTCGTCACTTTGAGATAAGACCGCCCAAAACTCCTTTAAAGTGGTCATCATGTGCTAGGTGACCCCAAACCAAAGGTGACTCGAGTCCTCTCGGCCGTTTTATATAAACGAGGTTTTCATGTATAAATAGACCGAGCGAATATATTGTACTAATTTAAAGCCATATTTGCAAACAACGCAAATTGCTGCATGCTTTGAAAATGTGAATTGAAAAGTCACTGTCAGCTATTTTATAAAGTAAAACCAACACTTGTTGAAAAATAATAGTTTCAAAGATTATCAACGCAAGTTTTAAAGTAACTAATTGCAAACAACAAAAAAGTCTAAAAAAATATTAAAATTTTAATTACTTGGTAAATGATTTTGGCACTGAAAGTGATAGCTAAATATTTCCACGGAGAAATAATTCTTGTCCGCTGTTTTTCTCATTTTAAGTGAAAGACTCCAGAGAAAATCGCATTGATGTACAGCTTTACAGATAAGATAACGTGATGCAACCCCTTCATCAGGCCTAATCAAGAAAGTTCTCTTAATCAAGTTAATGTTCTCCATTAAGTTCCGCGCGCACTCCCATTCTCACGCTTTTGCATTACTAACCGTGTCTTTTTAAATTTCCTTATATAACTTTTTCGTGTGCATACATATGAAAATTCATATATTAATATATGAAAATGCACCCATTTCCTTCTATGTGAAATGATATGTAAGCCCTTCCCAGGCTCTTATTCATGAGCTATCCATGCGTAAGTGGGTATCTTTCTCAGTACATTTAATATATTTTTGCGTCTTTATTTTATTTTCACACACAGATTATAGAATTTTCAACGTCAAAATTGCTCAGTTTTTAAAGCTTCTGACAATACGAAAACCGGGCTGTGCCTAAGGGCGGTTACATTTACAAGTAATCAGTAGAAAGGAAATATTCTATTTTTTTTTAATTTTAAAACTAAAAAAGATAATAATTCTAATTTTAAATATTTCTAATCTAATAATAAAATATAAAAGTATCCTAAATATGACAAACACTAGTTAAGATATTCACAAAGTGGTATATCTAAATTGTATATAACCTTCATCGATTACAGGACTTGCTCTATTTTGACAGAAAAGAAGAAAATAAACATTGAACACACTTTTTAAGCTGTCAATACTGGCAAATTACGACGGATAACTCGGAATGATTTCAGTTTTTCAACGTCAAATTCACACGGTTTGTGAAGGTTTCATTTGTCAAAGAATCTACGTTATCAATCTGGAACATGTAAATGAGAGTAGTCTCACCTTCATCTTTGCTCGCCAAGACCTAATCAAAAACTAAATTATACAATTAATCTTAGCACTGGACATTAATATAACACAGCTATTATCTATGGGCGATCTTTTCATCGGGGATGTATTAGAATAACGATGAAAACGGTATGATACAAACTGAAATGGTAAAATCTATCAACAAACAACAGATCAAATGGAATATGTGGAAAATATACACTTATGAGCAACGCGCATCTGGGTTTATTTATACCTTGATGCATACATTGTATTCCCAATATAAGAGTGACGGTGTATTTGTGCAATAAATAAATGAATAAAAATAGAAAAACAAATAAATAAGCTGAAAGGCTACAACGGTGCGTTTCGCAGTGAAGAAAGCATTCCGCACAAGATGCGTCAAAATACTTTTGCAAATGACAAGATTTGGTCGATTTGTTCAGATCTTTGTTTACCGTAAATAAATAAATAAATAAATAAAAAGCACACTTGGATATAATCACTAAGTGCGTAATTCATCAAAAGATTAATCAAAGAACGACCAATAGCAATTTCATTGTACGGCACTCCCTTGACCCTCCTTAAAATTTTACATTCCTCGTTTGTCAAGACCAAAATTCGTATAATTCAATTCTGACAATATCTTGTAAGCCTCATATCAACACGTATCTGTGCGTGTCGTGAGCTGCATATGAGGCAATAAACACCTCTAATTAAAAGAAACTCGGTGTCCATTCCCAAGGAAGCACAGGCTAACTTCAGTCAAAGGAGGGAGCGTTCCTTCCTGATAGATCCCTCGATAGCCCATTAAGCAGCTGTCGATGCGGGTCTCCCCCCCGTAGATTGTAATCAACGTCCTCCTTAAATACATATTTCACATTAATCTACATTAACGATGCTAGGCAGACCCGTTATTTTATGGCGCATTAAATTAACCACGGTGGGGATGATTTCAATATGGAATGAGTCCACTCTCTGTCACTCACACGGTATAATTATTGAAAATATGTCATATATAAGGGCCTTGAAGGAAACTTAGTCATTCGTAGATCAAGGTTCTTTGCTGGGGACCGCCGAACAAGTCTGTGACTGCAGGTAAGGGACAAGGCAGTCTTTACGTAACAACATGGCCTTCAGACTCACCTTAACGCTGTGCCTTGCGTTGGCCGTCTTAGATAGAGTATACAGCTTGCACATAGGAAACTCAGGGTACGGAGGTTATGGGACAGGCCTGTACAACCACGGGCTCTCAGGCATCGCTGCCGGCGGTGTTGCGGGTGGGTACCCAAACTACCTCGATAACAGCGGCCTGAGTCGCTTTTTCTCCGCTGCTGGCATTCGTATGCCAGGTCTTAACGCTAACCTCGCCTCTCCAGCCAGTTTTAATTTCGGTGTCCCACGCCCTGGGGGTTATGGCTTCGGTGTAACCCCTGCTTACGGTGGTCCAGCGTACACCAGCCCTGCTTTCAGCTACGGCGCTGGCACTTACGGTACTGGCGTCGGTTCCCTTTACGGTGGTAAATTATATGGAGATGTCGGCGTTTACGGCGGAGACGCTGGTATTTACAGCGGTGACGCTGGCATTTACGGCGGCGACGCTGGCATTTACGGCGGTGACACTAGCGGTTTCTACGGCGGAGACGTCGGCCTTGGTGACAGCTTCTACAGCGGCGGGCTTGGAAACAACCTGGGAGCGACCTACGGTGACGTCGGCACTAGCTACGGCCTTAATCTCGACAACATACCTACCGAGGTCTACGACCCTAGCGGCAGCCTGGTGAGCACCATCCCTGCGGGAGACACCGGCACCTCCGTCTACCGTTCCCCAGTCGCAAGCAGCCGTCCAACCACTTATTCCTCCACCAACGGCGTCACCTCCGTGTATTCTTCCACTACCAGATTCAGCGACCGCAGCGGTCCGTCCGTGGACGAAGGAGCAGTCTCAACAGACGCCAGGTCCTTCGAAGTGCCCGCCGAACCCAGTGATCCTCTGCCCCTTGACGGCGCATACCAAGGAAACCCAACTGTTGGGAACGCCAACGTGTACAGGCCACCTACCTACGGCACTACTAGCACAGTGTACGGAGACGGCACTAGCATCAACTACAGACCCCCAGTGTACTCCAACGTGAACAGGCCACCTCCTTCTGGCGCTACTAGCACAGTGTACGGGGACAGCACGATCAGCAACTACAGACCCCCAGTGTACTCTGGTACTGCAAGCAACACCAATGCCTACGACTCCACCTCTCAGGCAACTGCGGGCGGACCCTCCCCTGTCCCTGTCTACACAGGCGCTACTGCTCCAAGCAGCCCAGCCAGAAGCGGCCCCACCCCTCTTTACAACACTCAACTTGGCCTCTTCCCCAACAACGCCCTCCAGTACACTGGCAATACCGGAGCTATCAACTTGCCAGCCATGCCCAACGTCGGGTCCCTCCTGAGAGGGGGCGCTCCTCTCCTCAGAGGCGCCATTGCGAACAGCCCCGTGTACTCCAATCTATTGCGCACCGCCATCAACGCCGGCGTCTACGGCCCAGCACCAGGTCAACTTCCCACTGCTTCCGTTTACGGACAGGGTCTGGTCGGTCAGCAGCAGCCCGCTCGCTTCGTACCTGACGGAGCCGTTGTGCCGGGCGCACGCCAGGCCGCCGTAGATGAGGGTGATCAAAAACCAGACGAAGACGCCGGACCTGCCGTTGTAAACCAAGGACCAGGCATGTACACCAACAATGTCGTCAACCAAGGGCCCGGTATGTACACCAGCAATGTCGGCAACCAAGGGCCCGGCATGTACGTCAGCGGTATTGGGGCTGGGCAGCCAGTAGGGGCCGTGGTGTCTCAGACCGTCAACAACGCCCCAGCCGTAGTTCAGGGCTCCGACCCCAAATTGGACAGCGACTTCGGATTCAGCGCCGATGGTTTCTACTACGATAACGCTGGAGCCGACGCCGCCCCCCTCGTGGTCGGCTATCTCAGTCACGGATTTAGAAAAAGGTAAGATATCTGTACAGAGACAATTGACTGGTAGGGTGGGGTGATTTAACCATTATCGTAACTCCAAATCTAAGATTTCTATATGGTAATAGCCCCTAATATTTATTTGATGTTGAATTTATTACATTACCTATCTTTAGCCATAGACTAAGCAATAAGGGAATGTACGTCGTCTGTGTTGTTTGTGGGATATTAAAACTATGTAAGTTGCAATTATGAGTTCTTAAATTTATTCATTTATAAGTTTCAATATTACTCACAAGATATATTTAAGAACTTGGCCGCTACTTAGGTAAAAGTAATATAAAATATTAGAGATCGCACTGGAAAATATAGCAACGATCATTTACATAACACAAGATGATCCAGGGAAAATACACCGTAATTTCCCCTCCATTCCAGCTGCGGCAACTTTTACTACGACCCCCGCTACCAGGGCTGCTGTGACGGCACCACATACGTTTACGGCACTCACAAATGCTGCCCAGGCTACGGCGTCTACGCCAAGGCCAACCAGCAGTGCGTGAACGGCGCTCTTCAGGAATACTCTCCCGTCTACCAGGCCTCCTGCTCGGGTAACTTCTACGACCACAAGACACAGGGTTGCTGCGGCGGCAGTGTGTATTCTTATGATGGGTGAGTACCGGTGCTTGACGTGGGTAAAGGGTGTGTGTAAGGCGTGGGTGGGTTCATTGTTTATCGTTTAAATAACGACTGATAAATTTTGTCAATAGCAAATTTGGGAATGGGGTTTGGGGGGGGGGGAGGCGGGTCAATACACATTACGGGTTGATGAGTGCATAAGTCGTCTGATTCATGGGGGTCAGTTTATATTAACGGGTTTGAAAAATGTATCATGGGTTAATGACGTTAAGAAAGTGGAAGAGTGTCAATTCATTTTACGAATACATTTTATATCGCTCCGAATATCAGTTTCACACAAACCGTCTTATCATCCATAGTAGTCCCAGTCATTTTAACTCATAAATGCTTGAGCGCAGCTAAATATGAATTAGGTGTATTAAAGTGTTATTAATGCTTGCTTCACGTATCGTAAATTGTTGAAAAACTATCAATGAGTGGGTTGGTAACATTAATATTGTAAAGTCGAAACTTTGAAAACATTTCCTCTGTGTAATATGTAAAATTTAAAATGCCTTTTCTTCAGATTTGAGTGCTGCGGCGGAACCACCATCTACCACATAGGCGACATGGTCTGCGATGGCGTCCAACTCTACAATATCGACAGCAACGCCTACACACAGCTTTACAATGAAGCTTTCTACCGTGACTTCGCCATGGGTGGCACCCAGTACAAACTCAGCCCAGGCGATCGAGACAACTTCTTCGCCCCAGTCTGCGGCACCTCCCAGTACATCGGCTTCGCCAGTGGCTGTTGCGATGGCAACGTGTACAAATATGGCACCCAGTTGTGTTGCCATGGAAACAGCGGCGATGGTGCCCATCAGTACTACGTCAGCACCGTGGAAAACGGTTGCGGTAACAACGCTGCGAGATACTACGGAGATTTTTACTCCATGGCCAAAAATATGTAAACCTAAAACCCTTAAAAACTTTTACTTAATACAGACTTCAATGGCACATCTGGCCGAGGGATGACATTAAGCGTGCGGAAATATTTGACTATGATATATAGAAAAAAAAAACACTTGTTGAATTTGGTGAATTTGACAGAGACACGCTATTCTCCCTCTCGCTGCGCGAGATTCAATCTCTCAGAAAAAAGGCTTCTATCAAGTCCTGGAAGCATTAACCACGGGTATCCAAAGCTTTATTTATTAAGGGACGCGGTAACGTTCATTACATGATAGTCTTTAAAACCATGTGAAACTTACTAGCTTTAATTAGTCAGTCTTAGATGCAAATTTGTTCGTGATCATTTGCACAATCGTTTCACGTTTCTTGTGAGCTTTAATTAAACACATTTCGAGATCAAGCCGGGTATCTTTTTAAATAGAGCAGACTGGCTTTGATTACCTGTGTGTTCGTTTCTTCATAAATGTACAAATCATATGGGAAATTAAACTTGTATGTTTTTATTTAAGGTATTTTTCATTGTGTTTATTTAAATGCCGCCGTCATAACAAAATTCGTCATAGATTTTAAAATAATTGATGTTTTACTGTATTTAACAGTATATATTAAGCAATTCGTTTTATAAAATACTCTTTACATTTTAAAGTCACAAAACTCACAACATACCCAAAAGCCGGTCAATCATAAAAAGGAAATCAATTTTATACGATAATTTTTATTTTTTCCCTAAATGTTGAAGATCATTAGATCTCAGTAACATTAAAAAAAAAAAAAAAGAAAATTGTCTTGGTACAAAGAACAAAAAGGTCCAGTTTTATCATTCATCATCCATTTTCTCCTAGAACTTCGTTACCTGCTTTTTCTTGCATTTGATCATCTGCAGTCGTATTTTCTCTTCTCTCGTCTGCTTTAGAATTCAGAACGAGATCGGCCATGATGCCGTGATGGAGGTAAAAAGCACTGCCTTCTAAGTCTATCTTTGACGTCTCCTTAGTCGCCTTTATCAAGTCACGGGCCGATTCCGGGGTCAGGCAATCTAGTTCTTTGCGAGGCATGAAAATTTTATGAATTTCACTTCCCGATCGCCCCTGCCAAAATATAATAAGGGGGTAATATAAAAAAAGGGTCATTAGTGCAGTCTGATAAATCACTTTATTTCTGTGTACTATAATTAACTGACGCATTACTCCACGTATCTCCCTGTCGATTTGCAAAATAAGATTCTCAGCACAAAGAGGAAATGGTTTTAATGTGACTTCAGAAGTTTCACCAACTTCAGCAAAAAGAGGTCAAAATTAAAATGAAATTTAATTGCATGGTATTTCAAATTGGTTATATGACTGTAGAAATCACGTATCGTCAATCCGGCGTCCGAGATGAATATAAATAACAGTGATAACAAGTCACAATCATACTAGTTAAGTTCAAATTTAACGGGAAAGTCATTCTGTTTACCCTCAAATAACCCCCCATATTTTCGGTCTCGCTTAATCTTTTCTTTAAAAAAAAAGTGAGTACGTTGGAGTTAAAAAAAACCCTCACCAAGTGAGCACATTAAAGCAAAGATCCCTATCCGACTGCAGTCAGTGCCCTTAAAATTTACACAAACACTGTCGCAATCTGCACGGGGGGATCGATCTCATGAATATTCATAACGAAGGCGGTGCCAACCATCGCGTCTGGAGATAAGCGAGGGGATTTTCTGGCTGGGTAACATGCAGATGAGCATTCCTATCTAGATCCCCCATCGGGTGAACCGTATCGCTGAAACCAACTACACGACATCTACGGAGACAGAAATTTATAGTGTCGTCTCCGGTGTCCTACTACACGCAACGATAAATATGGAAGACGGGGTGATTTGGGGGGGGGGGGGGTAAGAAACTTTTAATATCTTACTGCGGACACCGGTTAAACCCCCTTTACACTGGACAGCGTCTTTTCTGCGTCCTTTGTGAGACCATGAAAACTGGCATCGCTGTGGTGTCACCAGTATAGCTTTGGTTGCAGAATTAATGCTCAATGATCGGCCGGTTGTCAGCATGTAAAGAATTTTTTTTACTCTCAAACGGGGCCGTACGACGAGACGCAGAAAAGACCCGCCCAGTGTAAAGCGGGCTTTATCAATCAGTTATTTTTGAGAATCATCTTATAAATATTATACAGATTGGAAACTTTTGAGTATGGAGGACGATAATACTACCTACCCAAATTACTAAAGGCAAAGGGAATTCTGCATCTATAGACGGCCAGCTCTGGTCTAACACCGACTGGTCCTGAAATAAAGATAATTTCTTATGGGAATATTTATCAAAATAAAAAATAGTTTATTTTGATTGTTAAGATATAGAAATTAAATTAAAATTTTTATTAAAGTTGCATTATCGGATCTACGACTTGTAACGCAGTGCTGTGACCATGTATGCGTTTTTTAATAATATTTATTTATATATTTGTCTTTAACGACTTAAATTAATCTTTTCTTCTTATGTTGAAATTGCCCTGTCTTTTAATATATTGGCTGACAAATTCAGTGACTTTACTAAAAGTAAGAGTATTGGTTTAATCTCTCAATATATCCCTGTCCAAAATTTAATCAAATAGGCCCTACGTTTATTAACACACTCATAATAACTGATACATGATCTGCAGTTAGCATACATTATGTGAGCAAACTTTATCTTAATCACATTCAAATATTGTAATTCTATGCAGTTAATTAAAATTCCAAAGAAAGACAAAAGGAAATTAGACTTTACAATATGAGGGCATGTGTATGAGAACAATTAAATTCACCAAGAAGAAATTAGTTTTTAATGATGGTGATGCGTATCGGGATTATGTAAACGAGACAAATTATGGACGTCATACTCATTGTGAGGCATAATCCTTGTAATCTGTCATTGCTGAGCTAATATTTAATTAAAGAGAATCCCTTTCATTTGCAACTGTTCAACATGCTAAGACAGTTTTTAAAATAGATTCAATACAATGCTGTTTGGACACAATTTTGTGTATGTTGGCCCTAGTTTTAATTCCTTATATATGTGCATCACTTAAAAAAAAATGAATGCCCTAAGATAATCTTGATCAAGGAATCTTCAAGAACTTAAGTGTCATGGATTTTATCACTGTGTTGAAGCATATATCATGAGTCATACAAAACTTAATTATGCAGAATGTGAACAGTCTTTGTGCATCTTTCTATTTCCTAATTTATTTATTTATTATATTTTTTTAAAAGATCTTAGCAAACAAAACAAATAAAAGCTTAAGAAAAAAATTTCATTCCCCTGTCCCCTTGTTAAAATGACAAAAAAAATCTGACACCAGTTTTTTTTTACAATAATCACAATACAATAAATATAATGTAGAATAATTCATGTTGCCTCATGTAAGTTTTTTAACATAAAAGAATTGTTACTATACATGTAAACTTCATAACAATTCACTCAAACTTGAAAATTAATTTCATGTCACTTATACTCTATCATGTTTGGATAATTTTGTATTTTTTTTGTTATAATCATAAACCTATTTTTTCTAATGTGCAAACCATTGCTTATTCCCAAAGTATCAATACGCATGACATCATCCAAATTATAGAACTACATGTGTATGTATAGACCAGTACACAGGGCATAAATATGCTTCTTGATGTAAGAAAATGGTAGAAATTATACATGATTGATGATGAAGCTTATCATCTTTTAAATCTTAATGAATCATATACATCATTTGTTCTTCATACCCAAGAATAATGATCATTCAGCCTTCCTGCGCAGTTCCGAATACCTTCCCACAATTCTGAGGCAAACATGGGGGCCGCTGGTGCTACCATGACAACTAAATCACAAAGTGCTCTTTCATATTCTTTGCTGTAGAGGACTCCCTCTGTAGGAAATTTCTGGCAAAGAAATTAAAAAAAGTTTGTCTGATCTTAGGATATCTCTACATAGTCCATGTTTATTATTTTGCTTTGTTTGGCAGTAACAGTGTTACTAACACACTTCTAAATAAGTATAAGTGAGTTGAAACAACCTGTTCTAAAATACATGATATTTTCTTGGGTGAAATTTATAAAAAACTGAAAATCCTGAAAATATTGCTAGCAATTTTTAATCGCATTCAAACCATATGAAAAAAAAACTATCAAAATGAAGACTGAAAATTTTGAAATCAAGCATAATCCTGAAAACTTTCACCCATGTATTTTAAGTATAATATTTGTAAAGTAGGCAAACCTCTCATATATTCAACTAATTTGGAGGTTGCTATTAAAGCCCTTTAGCTCTCTCCTAGACCCTACCAGATAAGAAAAATTCACAAAAATTCATTGTGTGCTGCGAAATCAAAGATGGAAAACTAATATTCACCTTAAGAGCTGTGGTCAGTTCTTGTAGTCTGGATATCCCGACACTGACCAGAAACGTGAAGCTGAGGTGAAAGCTCACCTGAAAAGAAAAGTATCGACTTCATAGATTTCTCAATTTTAATATTCCAATTATTGTTTTGGTAAATCATCAACCTTTTTCTTGCCAATATCATCATAACTACCCACTCAAAAGTTTACATATTATCTGATTCATCAAGTTTTCTTATCTTACAGTTATTATTTTGTTGTCATATCATACAAGAGAAAGTCTAAAGAAGACTGCAGTTGAATATTTGGTACTACAGTCTGCACTCCTAAATAAATGGTGAACTTTGATTTTGTTCACAAATTCATCTCCTCCTCCCCCCTCCCTTAAATAAAAAAGATATAGCTAACTTAAGTTAAAAATTGTATTCTTGAATTTCTTGTAATTAAAAATTACAGAAAAGATGTACTTCCAGGAGGGGGAAAATAATCAAAGAAATCCTCTTAAATGACAGAGAAACTTAAAAATAAATTTGACAGAAAAGGAAAACATGCATCACTTTTTACTTGGGACAGAAATTTTGACTTTATTCCATTGCCAATAAAGTAGTTTTCCGCATTACTGTTTTAATTCAAAGTTTTCCCTTACATCTTTCAAAAATCTATTCCTGGCCTTGTAAAGGATTTCTTCGTGACTGGCCATTTCCTCAGGACTTAGTGGACAGGTTTGACCAGTCTGTTGTTGTTGCTGTCGTTGCCGTTTTAAAACCTTGACTAATGTCCATATTTTGGCTTGCCATCTTATTATTCCTGTGTAGGCTGAAACAAATTAATTGTGCCGTGATGGTCAAAACTGACACTACTGATTCTAATATGCACACTATATAAAGTCCTACAGCTTAATCAGTTGAAATGTATAGCTTAAAGCTAAGTATAGTAATAATTATGTGAAAATTTTCCAAAATACTTGAAAAATAAACAAAGAACATTTTTATCTTTTAAAAAATGGTGAATGGTATACCTAAAATAAAATGTGTACATTTTGCTACAAATTTTATCATCTCAATAATCCATTTTTATTTTGACATACCAGTGATAAAAAACAATATGACAATTATGTCCTTAAGTAACAAAACACCTCAAATTAGTGAAAGGATTAATCTTAACAAAAGCCACTTAAGTCCCTGTTACAACAGACTTACAACCACTTGGAACCGTCAAATTTTTTCCTACTCTCACAAATATGTAACAAAAGAAAAAGGCTACAATTATTAATAAAAGTCCATTTAAAATAATGTATGAATTTGATGGTGACTATCACGTACTGTTTACACCCCAATTTTTAAGAGATGAGAGTGGGCAAATATTTATTTCCCCTTGCAGTGGCAAGCTCTGTGTAACTGGGGTTGAATTAAAAGGATAACAACTGTTCATTTTGGCCAAAAAATGTATTTTCCTGGGGTAAACGACAATTTTCCCATCCTTACCAGTGGTTAATGAATCCATTCCTACAATCAAAGTTAGTTTGTTTTTTTTTTTTCTAGAAAGAGATTAATACAGAGGATAGTCATTTATAGAAGTCTCTTGGTCTGATGGCAAGCAGAGATTTCAGAATAATTGCCATAAGTGCCGTTTTTGTGGTAAAATACAAAATATTATATTTCTATGAGTTGATTACGATGTTTTTATTGTGAAATATAGATCTCATATGAACAGCTGTTATCCCTCCAACTTACAGCTAACATCCCACTTTCTGGGCGTCTTTGGCGCCACACCAGACAGTATATTCAATCTTGTTAAATCCACACCATATTCTTCTAATACTTCCTAGAAAGAGAAAAAAATTAATATGAAAATTCTGAGAAAATGTTATCTGTTAATAAATATTTTCTGTTAGTGAGAGGTGTGGGTACTTTTGACATATTCTGAAATACTGTCATTTTATTTTTTGTCAAGAGGAACAAAAATTTGGTTTTTATTAAGGAAAAATTTTAATGCAATTATATGATTCTCCAAATTGCAATACAAAAAAAAAAGCACACTGTAACCATGTAGTATATCTCAAAATTCACTTATTCAGCAATAACATTTATACCCTCTTAACCTCAACTAAAAGTAAAAACATAACTATTTGCATGTGAATTGTCAAAGCTGCAATAAACAGCTTATAAAGATGCAACAAATGAATTAATCATATCCTAACTCAAATTATCAAAAGTCTGAAATTTAACAGCCAGTTTCAAACACTGCTACAATGCTGGTCTTCTCTCTTCAATATATCCTCTTCTCTAACACATTCATTTTGAATTCACATTTAGAAGAAAATACAATCATCGTCTTCTCTACCACACTCACCTGTGGGTCAGTGCCATTATTCTTCGACTTGCTCATTTTTTCCCAGGTAACAGTTATCTTTTCACCTGTTCCCTTTTCAACTGGTTTCTTTCCTATCAAAAATTATCAACAAAGTATATTACTTTCTAATTAACTTTTAAAATTTCTATGTGACATAACATCTGATAAAAAGGTCTATAAAAAATAAAAAAATTTGGTGAAAATATAAAAATTTTACATATAATAATGCAATTTTTGAAAATGCATTTTGAAAATGTTATTCTTCCAATGTCTTTCTTACAATAACCAGTTTCAGTACTATAAATGTACCATCCCACTTTCGGTTGCAAATAAATATGGTTACAAGCCAGAGGAGAATTTCATCAATTGTGTTATATTATAACAAAAAAGTAATTTCTTCTTCAAGCAAGAGCTATTTGACAGTTGGTGGAAGAAAAAAAACTACTTTATTCCTAAATATGATTATAATAATTATGAGCATGGGATGATATGAGTACCTCTCTACTATGACGACCATTATAATTACCAGAAAAATCAACCTCCTCTGGTTTTAGGTATCTTCCACTTGCGTCCTTCACCCTGTAAGTCTTTCCCTGGACCATTCCCTGTGTCAGGAGGTTGGTGAACGGCTCCCTGTGAGCAACCATGCCCTGGTTGTACAGGAAGTGGTTGAAGAAACGGGCAAAGTACAGGTGCAATACAGCTAGAAGGAAAAAAACGTGGTAGAAAAATATGTGCATACTTTGTTATGCAAGTCTACCACAGCTACTTTCATAGTTGGACAATTATGTATCAAGAAATATAGGTATGAGTTTAAGGGCAGTATGATAATATCCTCTTAAATCAACAAATCCTATCAAAAACATGCCACATAAAATGTCCTTAAGAAAAGGTGGCTCCAACTTGGGCACCCAAAGGCAAATGAAAGAGAGGTCCGCCAGCTGGATTTATAAACTTCCGGACATGCTCTGCATGTATACTGTAAGGCAGAGGCATATCTACTATTTACAGACTAATCCAGCTACCAATCATCATCATCATTATCATTGATTTCATGGACTGTCAATCCAATATCCGTAAAACTGACCTTCATGAACTGCAAGTCGGTCAAAAACAAGGGGGCAATAATAATAATAATACGCAATTTTATTGTGGATAACAATATTGACTTGATTTCTGTGAACAAGACATGAATATTCATATTTTCCTGCATTTCAAATAGTAGAAAGGAAAATATTGTATTGTTGTTGTACTGCTTGTTCATTGAAAAGGAAGGCAAATGTTCAACATTTGTGCAATCATTTGATGGGTTACACATTGGTTATGCTGAGAAGTTTTGAAGGAGTGTGTCATTTTCTAGCTGTCACCAAACTAAATAATCATAGACTTGATTGTGTCTGTGAATGCATTCAATTTTGTTGTGGATTGCAGCCCACTGTTACTGTAATGCATATTACAGCAAAGCGTACTTAACAACAGTTACAGTAACATCAATATCCAGTTGATTATTCCTTGCTTCTCTCCTTTACCCCCAAAACCACAAAAAAATATGCAAAAAACTGATGGTAAGTGACTAGAAAATATCCCTCAAATCATTTTTAGGCCCCAGAAAGTTACTTTTTCCTATAAGTGTACTCTTTCCAGGGGCAGATTGAGGCCGCCTTCTGGGTCTTCTGGAAGACGGTCAGATTTTCAAGTTTACATTGACAAGTATCTAATTTTTCTCTGTCCAAAGACGGTCAAAAATGGAGGATGGATCAACAAAGATAATTTGGTAGACTGTCAGAAAATATCTCCGGATCCACCCTAGGCTATTGTAGGTGCCCTACCATGCTCTTTTCCTCCTATGTACAGGTCCACAGGCATCAGTCTGTTGGCCATCTCTGGACTGAAGGGCATGTGTGTGTTCCTGGGGTCCAGATAGCGGAGGAAGTACCATGAGGAGTCGACAAACGTGTCCATGGTGTCCGTCTCCCTCTCAGCAGCACCACCGCATCTTGAGATTAAAACAGAATTAGGACAAATTACATGTAAGCAAAAGAATGATTTACCCACAATTTATGATTTCAGTTGATATTATTGTCTCCAAAATCTACAGTTTGCTATTTATGAACTTAGTTATAAGATAATTCAAAACAATTTTTTTTTCATTCTTGGTGAAATGCAATTCAGTCAGCTACGATATCTTTGGTAAGACTACTTATCAATATGAGCCGTTTGGTGTGAAAGGTAGTGGTAGTGGTTGCAGTTTATTACATTTGGTGACTTTAGTCTTTTTAGTTCAAACATCTATCTCATGATCTTGCAGCTACCCTATTTTAACATATAATCATTCTGTAGATCATATGTGGACTAGTGTATATATATCCCCTTACTTGGGACACTTCACACTTTTCCATTCTTTAGCTGTGTCCAAAGGCGACTGACCCTTGCCTGAGAAAGTAGTGACCATAGGTAGTTCTACGGGGAGCTCTTCCATGGGAACTGGGACTGCCTGTCACAGAAGAACAAATACTTCATTCAAATTTAACCTAATTATAAAAATCTTCCAGAACATAATGTAATAATAAGGAAAATTTTCTTTTGGATAACCTGCTCAGCTGGTAAACATTTTTGTCATCTATACAATGTTAGCATATTCTAGTACATTTATTTAAAATACATGTGTGTATGTGCGCATGGTTGAATGCATGTGAATTCAAACAAATTAATATCATACTTCCATCCTGAAGCCTCAATTTAAAACGGATCAGCTGATTTCTGTGAATTTGCACGGCTGTACCTGTAGCCCTAAGGACGTGCTGCTGAAATGCTAACCATGCTCACCTTACAGCTTGGACAATGAATCATGGGTATAGGTGTGCCCCAGTATCGCTGCCTAGAGATTAACCAATCATGTAGCTTGGCACTGGTAACATAGCCAAAGTTATTCTCCTGAAATTTGAAAATTTAATTAAAAAAGGTTGCTTACCCGACAGCAGTCTACAAGCTATCTGGTTAATTTTGTAAGATCATACAGTCAAGCACTTGAAGCAACAAAAATGTAATCAAAACAATGACTTTCTCTTTTTAAGCTTAAAAGTACATTTATACAAATTTATATAAAATTGTTTAACAGAGATTAAATAGCAATAGGTCAAAGATTTCATATAGATAAACTTGCCTGAGCTAAGGACACCACAGCTTGGTAAGCCTCTTCTCTACTCATTCCTGACAACTGAAACATGAACAATGAATTTTAAAAAATCCTAAAAATTTATTCTGACTTATGGATGTGAAAATTAGAGCAGACACTGTAAAACACAAAAATGGCTATGTGTCAATGTCTAATAATTAATCTCTATTTATTCATTAGAATCATCCTGATAAATAGTCCACTGAGGGCTAAAATATCAAAATTTCTAAAAAAAAAAAAAAAAAAAAATCCCCATACACAGTAATCAATATTATGTTAAATATCCAGTGCAATAAACAGTTATTACTTATTTGTGCAATCTTATCAAAACATTCTATATATCTTACCTGCTGAGAATTGATCATTGTTTCTGTGCCATCAGCTTTCTCTGTTAACACTTCTACAAAATTGAGTTTATTCTTCTCAGCAAATATTTTATCTTCCTCATTAAGGCAAGGAATACCTGAGTGTGAATGAGTAAAAAATTTTTTATCTTCCTCGTTAAGGCAAGGAATATTTGAGTGTAAATATCTAACAAAAACTTTGATAACATTGTAAAACAAATACCCACAAAAGTCCACTCTATAACAATTATATTAATTGACTCATGTATTTTGCCATTAGAAAGACCACTTAACATCAAAGAAAATTCTGATGAGTTGAATTTAAAAAAAAAAAAAATTTCTAATAAATAAAATTTTATGTAATAATCCACCCACCCCTTCTCTTACCAAGTTTAGAATCTGTAGCTGTAGGATAATCTTCAGATTCTACAATAAAAATTGGAATCTCTAACTGTGTTAAAGGGTTTATTGCTTTCAAATCAAGACACTGGACCGAGTCTGAACCTGAGGCTGTCTGTAATAGAAAATATATCACTAGCACACTGATCAACAAAAATACCAATAAAATGAAGTCAAGTTCAGATTTTTTTTAATGATTAAAATTAAAGTATAGAATTCTTCTTCGTATAGAATTCCCCTTCAATTGCTGAGGGTAAAATCAAGTTGTACATTTTCTGTAACGCATTCACAAAATTTAAAACCAAAAGCTTTTTATTTAAAATTCAAAAGCGGTTTTAAAAGTCTATCACTATCAGAATGTGCCAGGCAAATATAATTAGGTATACACAATCATCTATTTCAATCAATATCAATACATTTTATCGTAAACAGGGTGTCCCCAAAATGTACCCTTTGACTGCGTGTCCATCCATAATACCTTTTTTTTGTTTTTTTTTAAGGACATTCAAAATTTTTTATGCTATATCATTTGTTATTATTCTAACATTGCTTTCTTTCACTATCCTCAACAGACTTTTATCTATGCCAATAAAAATCTACTAATTAAAAGCAAAACAAAATGTATAAGAAATGAGAAGTCAAAGAGTGACCATATTTTGGGACACCCAGTATTATGATAACCTTACCTCCAGACCTGCCCTCTTACTCAGTAGATGCTGTGGGGAGATAGAGATATAGGACACTCCACACAGAGCCTCAGGGGTGGTCGTGAACACTGACAGAGGATCTCCAGACAAGTCTACTCCATGTCTCTGAAAAAAAGAAAATGGGGTTATAAATGAAAATTATCAAACACAAGCCAAAAATCTTTCATATTGTTAGCTTTATGAACATTTCTGCTCAAGCATGGGGTTGTGTTTTATCATGGGCCACCTTACAATGTTTCTCCTCCTCTATACAGAAATCTGCTGATAGTCAGGAAAATTTCATTTCTATTATAAGCACCAACACAAACCAAAAAGTCAGAAATCTGACAGTATTAGGAAAAAAATCTCATTCCTGTGCATGGTGGCCTTTGCCCAGTTTGGTGGTAAGCTTCAATGTAAATTTCAATGATAAAAATGTTTTGCTTGTGCACAAAAATCAATCTTTGGACTATCTAATAAGCTAATATTCACTTTCTTTGTCTGTATGCTCCCCAGACAGGTGAGAACAACTCAGGAATAACAGATCCCTAGAGACCAGGTGTAAAATTGGTTAAACTTTTTTTTTTCAGGGACATCAAGCTATAAACTTACAGCACACCTCTTAAATCCTAGTTATGTTACAAATCCCTGCTATTTTGTAGAAATATTAAACCACTTCCATAAATAGGATATCTTATATATATTTTGTTTCTTTGTCTTCTTTTAATTCATACCTTTAGCTTAAATTCCAGTCGGCAGCCATTACATTCCCCAATCCAGTGCCGCTGCTGTATGATTACGTCACGCCATAAATTGGGCTCTAATTCCTCTAGACCTTCTATTAAAGACTGCAATGAATGAAAAGAGCAAAGTTAATGTCTACTTAATGAAAAATGTTATACAGCAAATTATCAAAGGCTCAATAAGTGACCTCAATCATGAACTCACTAATTATATCAGATTATATCAGATTATTATCAGATTATGATACAGTAAAAATTTTTGCACAAAAGGTACGTATCAGATAAACATAATGCTCCGAAAAAAGGAAGCATGTTACCCAGTCATAAAAAAGTTGCACTTTCTACAATTTCTACAGCGACTGACACTAATATCATTGCATAAGTGGTAGTAGCATCTTTAACCCTTAAAACAATTCTATCAGCTACTCAATTCAATTTTACTTCATTACTATGTTAATTTAATTTATATATCTTGCGTTCATTAACAAAATATTTTATTCTAACCCCTCGGAGAGCCATGTGTAAATTAAGTCTATACACTTAACATGTTTTACCCTATTTAAATAAAGTTTAAATTATTATTATTATTATTATTATTATTATTATTATTATCAGTCTCCCTACCTTGGAATACTTAGTGGTTTGGAAATACCACTGCCGGAGAAGTTTCTTCTCGACAACAGCTCCGGACCGCCATGATTTCCCCTCCTCGTCTATCTGCTCATTTGCCAGGACTGTCTGATCCACTGGGTCCCAGTTGACATAGGCCTAGAACAGAGACAATATGAAATACAAAGTATATAAAAAATTACAGGTACACAGGGTGGATGGAGTAACGTGTGATGTCGCTTGCCATGTCTAGGTACTTAGTGCAACTGTTTCAATGGACACGTTCTCGTCGTGTGCGGGCATTGGACTGCTGACAATTGAAACACAGTGAATATTAGCTTATTTCATTTTCTGACACAAAATTTCTCCTATTGCTGTAATTCATTCTAGAAAATTTGAAACATTGCTTGATGCTATGATTTCCAGAGCAAAATAAATACCATATCCCTACAACATGAAGAATATGAAATATAGAAAATAAACAATAAAGAATAAATCACAAAAAAAAGGGAATTAATGAAATTGTGAACACTGCCAGTAAATATTTGACATGTGAAAAATGCAAATGGAAAAAATCAAATAAGCAAATTTCAATAACAGACACAGGTTTATTCAGAAATATGAGGAATAATAAAAACTAAAAAATAACATTTTTTCACAAACACAGTTAACCTGCTGAGATGTAAAAATGTAGAGAACAAAGAAGACAGAAATATCAGCTTCTTTCAAGCACTTTTGTAAGAAGCCTTTACTTCATCGTTTGATGATAAAAGTACACATTGAGTTAAACTGCCACATTATGCCAGATACAGCTTCCGTCAGCATCAAGTTATGACAGGGAGTAGAGGGTAAAAACTGACCTCTTTCTGGTAAACCAATCCTGCCTCATGCATCTTTAGGAAGATGTATTGTGTCCATTTGTAATATGTTGGATCACAGGTGGCATATTCCTGAAATTTTAACATGAAATATCAACATATTCTTTTTCAAAATAGATAACACTCTTGTTTTTTATACAATACTACTAGTTACCCTACGTTTCCTTACGCAATGCGTGTGAGATTAAACACTGTCACTTGGGAGACATGCCAAGTCACATCAGCAACAGTCAGAGGGTTTCAAGGCATATGTTGCAAGAGTGAAGCAGTCTATAATTTGACAAATGTTTATTACTTACTCTTTCCCAGTCAAAGCTATAAACCATATCATCCAGCTGTTTTTTCATATTTACAATATTCCTGAAATAAACAAATTGAAGAGCATTAAGACAGTAACAGTAATCATCATAACAAAATAGTATTTTTTTTAAGTCAGATGTAATACTACATACAAAGTCATTAAGTTATAATATAACACACGTCCTGTACCTTTTAGTCCATTGTTCTGGCATTTCACCTCTGTCAATTGCAGCATTCTCAGCTGGTAGACCAAATGCGTCCCATCCCATAGGGTGGATCACCTGCAAGGTACATCAAGTAGAGTATGGGTCATATTATGTGAAATTCTTAAAACTTTTAGCATTCTGTATGCTAGGAATTTCATCCACTTGATCCTAAATCTTTTTTGCAACAGTGTTAAGTATTGAAATGATTTATTTCTGATTTCAGCAGCTTTGAACTGTTCAGAAAAGACAAAGTGTAGTCTAGTAATATTTGAAAACCTTTTTTTTTTCATTTCAGAGATTTCAGAGATATGTCTACTTGTCAGATGCCATTAATTTGTGTTCCATGTCACAGACTTGAAAGCAGTGATGCTTACACTTTGATCAGAGTTAGAGTGCAATCAGAACAGCAGACTAACTTATCTGCAGATCAAATATGGCAATCCGCTAAAAAGCTTTCTGCTTAATTCCTGATAAGACACTGAATAGATTCCCCCCAGAAGTCTTGGAAGAAGAAACCTTGGCCAAACTGGAAATCTGAGGCTCAGGATAGGAAACAATGGAAAAAGCATGCTGAGGCCTTTGTCCAACATTGGAACACTATAGGCTCTAAATGATTATGATGATGATGATGATGATATCCCCCCCCCCCCCCCCCCCCAGAGATTACGCAACAGGCATTCAAGTAAGTTGGCCATATTTGATCCACAGATCTGTTAGTCCTACTGTTTTGTATGCATTCTTAAAAAATATGATATTCATAAAAGTCTGTGCTGGATTCCCCTTTTTTGTCCCACCTGTTTTCCCAGCATTCTCTGGAATCTAGAGATGGTATCACTGATTGTGTATACTCTGATGTGGCCCATGTGCAGACTGCCACTAGGATAGGGAAACATGGACAGCACATAGTACTTATTTCTTTCTGACTGGAAGCAAATAAAATGACTCAAGTAATGAAAATTGTAAAAAAAGAGAATAGGGTTGGGAAACATGGACAGCGCATAGTTCTTATTTCTTTCTGTCTGGAAGCCAAAATGACTCAAATGATGAGAANATATAAGTGACCCGATCATGCTGATTTTCGAACTCGACCTGCGTATTATGAACATTCATCACTTCTGTAAGTTTCAAACAAAAAGAAAAAACAGTTTTCCACTTATCGTGTTATCGGTAAAAGTGCACGGCGACGACGGCAACGACGGCGACGACGGCGACGGCGACGACAGACGCAGATGACGGCTATATGTACAGACACATCTGTGTCTGTACATAAAAAGAAAATGAAAATAGGGAATAGGGTAGGGAAACATAATTACTTATTTTCTTCCGACTGACTAAAAGTGATGAGAATGAGAAAGGAGAATGAAAATGGAGAAAAATGAGGTTTTCATAAAACATTTTAGTTTAAAAAAAAGCTGTTTTTTCTTGCCCATCTAAAAAAATAGTAAGATCTGGGGCAAAGAAAATCCAGTATAAACAGTGTGATTCATAAAAATGACCTATTTCAAATTGAGGTGGAAAGTAAAATAGGTTGTTTTTATGAATCACCCTGTATATTCCCTTTTCCAGAAACACAGTTACATGGAAAATGAAATTACTAAGAAATTCATCCTTACTGCATTATCTTTTTGTGTCCTGGTCAAATCATATTCTCTAATTTTATCCTTCCAATGATCCTCTATTTCAAATCTTACTTCTTTGTCCAATTTTTTGGGCTGTAAAAGAAATTGTTTGCAAGTTTTAAAAGTAACATATATTACAATCAATTTTATTAAAATTGTTTTAAAATACCTATTCGGTTTTGATCAGGTTTTTTTACAATATAGCAGTCAATTAATTTATTGTGCTATAATGAAAGCTCATTTTGTGTGGTTTCTAGATTCATCCACTGGACAAGGCAACATATAAGTCACTGTCTGTGAACATATTGCTAACCATTTTGCATGTGTGCTCACAATTAAGAATACTTATTTCATCCACAGCAGATCTTACCCATTCTCCAGTTTTACTGAATATTGATCTTGCTAATAAAAGTCCCTGTTGCTGATGAAGATATCTAAGTCTGCTCCAAGAGCAGAGAGTGGCTCTCTTTAAGATCCCCATCATGCTGCAATGAATGCCATAGACTTCAGTGTACTTTGATGACAGTTAGTAAAAGAAAAAAAAGAAAGAATACGAAATACTTCTAAAATTTAATGAACTTAAAAATAAAATAATTTTGAAATGTGTAAAAGCAGGAAGAGGCTATGGTACTGTCATTAAGATTTCCTTCAGATTTGTCATGTTATATAGCACTATACTGTATATTTATATAGCACTTTCAATTTCTACATTATTTGTTTTAATTAATTTTCCTGTTTAAAATCATTTTTACTGACCTTCGCATTATTTCTTTTACGTTTTATTGTAAAGTCTATTGAAAAAATGGATTTTAGACTCAAAATAAATATTATTATTATTATTATTATTATTATTACTACTACTACTAGCAGTGCACTGCATTAGTTGTGTAACTTTCGTAGACCGTACTTTTAGCTTTGAAATTATATTTGCTGCTCCTGGTAAATTAAGTTGCCCTTGTCTCAGTGTAAGGCCATAATATGTTGCGTCATACACACACACGAACACGCACAAACACACGTTGTATAATCCTGCATTCGCCACCATATTAGAGGTGTTATCCCTGAGGCTGAGAATCTCAAAAAGCCTTGTGAAAGACGGACTCGAACAATTTAAAACAGTTTTACGAAATTAAACAACAGACACTTGGTATAGGGTGTTGGAATATTTCACCCAATTATCTTACGCGAATGTTTCATGAAATTTACTTACCACTGACGAAATTAACGAATAAGAAATGAAAAATCACTTATCATTCGTGTGCCCATGGGCGCAGACATCTTACCGGAAGCGCCTTTAACTCCCGGAATGCATTTCTCGCCCTTTTCCGGTCGGCCATAACAAAATCAGGTCTGTGTTGCAAAGGTGAAAATTAAATCGTACCCATCTTCCATTTTCTTGTATATACAACGAAATATATCATCAAAGTATTAATCAAGAGTTTATCCACTAGTAACTTCAGCTACAAGTTTTTACCAAACTCATTTCGAAATTAGTTATCGGACGATGTGAACCTCATGCTAGTCTTGTGTACATGAGTGGGAAGATCTCGGTGCCTGTTGGCAATTTTCTGCTTATAGTTTACCCGTAGGAATTTCCTCACATTGTTATCCCATTAATTTCCCCAAATAACACATTTATTGTGTAATTGAATTGGGGGTCTGACTAAGTTTTCAAGTCTTACAAACCAACCATTTACCAAGTTGATAATTAATCTTGACGAATGTAGAATTTAGGATACATCTGCAGTTTCTCCCGTAAAGGTTCATTTGGCATAAAATAATTGAATATATTTCCTTTCAGGCCATCATGCCGATGAAACGTAATAATATGGTGCCCAATGGGCACTTCCATAAAGACTGGCAGACCCGTGTGAAGACGTGGTTCAACCAGCCTGCTCGTAAGAAGAGGAGACACGACAGGTAAGATATATAAATTTTGAAGAAACCCGGCTCTCATGCAGTATCCTGCCACCTCCCATTCACATGCACCAATAAATCTATTGACAAGTTTTTTAATTTAAAGTGGTCACCAAATTTCATGTGTTAGCTCACCTTTTACTAGCCTGTGATATTTTATATGTGTGCTAAGGTGCAATGTAGGTAACTGTGAAATGACAACCAGCTAGTGTTCCCCAAGATGCAAGGGCTATCAAAGTTTTCTCTTATTTCTCACCTACTGCTGATGACAGTGATGTGAATAGGATAAGATTCATCTACTGGCCTACCAGTTGTGCCGCTTTGAAATCAAGCACCTGCATGTTACTGTTTTTATAAGTGTCAAGGTATCCCAGTGTGATATATCTCGTGTTTTACATTGTAGACGTGTGAAGAAGGCCAGACTGATCGCCCCCCGCCCTGTGGCTGGCCCCCTCAGGCCCGTGATCAGGTGCCCCACCTTCAAGTATAACACCAAGGTCAGGCTGGGCAGAGGATTCACCCTGGATGAGCTCAAGGTAGGTTTTTATAATATTGTTGGCATTAAATGGGGTATGGCTTTCACAAAAAGAAATATGACCCCCCTCCCCCAATAAAAAAAAGTGATGATGAATTTGTGGACCAAAATTTGCTCCAATTCACTTGAGTTCAACTCAAATGAGCCCACTTGAATTGTGGTAAGTATTGATCTGTAACAGTTACCATTTCTTTCTTGGATTAAAATGGTACAATATTTCACTACAATGATTAATTTGGGTCTACACAGAGTAGAATTTGGGTCTCAAGAGTTCAAACCAGTTTTTAAACTTATTTTCTTTTGTAAAACTGGTCCCTGAAAGGATTTTAAGTAGCACAAATGAGCAAGACTAGCTGGCTATCTGAGACAGTATTATTAACGAACTCGCTGAAAAATGGCTGACAAACAGTTAAATACACTTACTATACTACAATGACAAAGATGCTGGGTTAGATTTGGCTCTATGCACCCTTCTCCCCTCCTTTTTTTTTTTTTTTCATTCCAACTGATGTGTTCCTGAGATTTACGCATTGACTCAGATAAGACCTCATGAGGCCGTACATGAGTGAGTCAGCTTTCAGTTAACTTGTGTGGGTTTCTGTTTTTCGGGTAGTTGTAGTGTAGTGATCATGTGAAACCTTACCTATAGGGACATTCTACTCAAGAAAAAGGATGAAAAAAGCTGTTCTAGAAATAGAAGCCTTGAAAAAGCAGCAATGTGGCGCAGATTGCTTTGGATGTTATTGTCTGCTAGTCTCATAGGATTTCCTAAAAGATATGAGGTTTCTTTAACAAGCAATTTCTGGTGTGTTTTATAATTTGAGATATGTTTCCTTGTAGAGAGCACTGGAAAAGAACAAGTATATAACAAGCATTGCTTTGTTACTGTAATACGTAAAGCATCAGAAACAAATATCCAAAACACTGTTTTATTCCTCATTTATTTATCATAAAGAGTAGACTTAGATTTGATAGGCACATATATCTTTCTACCCCATCTGTACATAAAGTCAGTATTAAGTATACTAATAGAAAATAATGAATGAATTTTTTTATAAATATGTGAAAAAAAAAGACCTTTCAGTAACTCAATTTAATATTTTGTAATTTTCCTCCCTCAGGCCGCAGGACTGAACAAGAAGTTTGCTCGCACCATCGGTATCTCGGTAGACTACAGGAGGAGAAACAAGTCCGTGGAGTCCCTGCAGCAGAATGTACAGAGATTGAAAGAGTACAGGAGCAAACTGGTCCTCTTCCCCAAGAAACTCAGTGCCCCCAAGAAGGACGACTCTGGGGTAAGTTTTCTCCATCCCTTGGCATTCTAATTACTGGATTGGACCAATATACAATTGTGCTTGTGAGGGGAGTGCGTTCTCCTCCTCCCCTATCTCTCTCTCTCTCTCTCTCTCTCTCTCTCTCTCTCTCTTCACTTTGTCCTTGACACATGGTCTAAACAAGCAATATGTTCATGCCTGCAACCTGTTCATATCATATAACTGTGACTTTGGAATTTCAAGTATCATGTCGAGTAGTTTTCTCATCTGGTGATTACTTGGACATATTGAGGTTCCAAATAAGAGCGATTTTTCGCTGAAGCTTTATGTGTCATTTGGATTATGCTATTATGACTGAAAACAAATGTAGCTTGATATTAATATTGCCTGTTAATTTATCTTTTCAGCCCGAAGAGCTCAAGATGGCCACCCAGCTCTCTGGAGAGGTCATGCCCATCATCGCTGTCCCCAAGAAGGAGAAGGCCCGCGCCATCAGCGAGGAAGAGAGGAAGTACAGTGCTTACACGGCCCTCAGGCAGGCGCGTGCCAACAAGCGTCTGTTTGGTATCAGAGAGAAGAGAGCCAAGGAGAAGGAGGCGGAAGGAAAATAGAGCATATGGAAAAATCGAAATAAACTGTTATTGTGAAATGTCGGTATTTCATGTACAAACTAAGCTAAGTAAAAGTAAAAAAGATTGTAAAGAAAGATGTTTATGTTTGTGGCTTTCCTTTCTGTTCAAAGTGATTTTTCTTCGTTGCAATCCGAGCTGTAACGTTAGCCAAATCGAGGTAAGGCACTGAATTTTCATCATTCAGTGTCCAGACGGTGATAAGTAACGTTCTGTCTGCCAATCGGATGTATTTGCAAGACGTGAGAAAATAAAGCTCCCCTATGATTTCGCATCAAAAATTGCGAACATCAGAAGCGCAAAAGGCGGACTAAAAACAGCTGTTATGGATCTTTGGAATATCTCTAGTGGCAAGGAATTCAAACACTGCACTATTACTTCCTGAACATGGGGTTTCAAAATCTTTAACATGGTCTCTAAGGAGTAATGAGACGTATAAGTGAGATTAAGGAGAATGCTATTTTTATTTTTTTTAAAGACTTTCGAGCAAAACCAGACGGGAAGCAAACGTTTATTAGTCCCGACCTATTAAGCAAACTTGACGGAGACAAATAAAGATATTGCGGTAAAACGTGAAGGCAATGCAGACAAAGTTGGTAATAAGTTGTTCAGATGATACTTGTAAAGTTTGAATCGTAAATATCGCAGTGCTGTTAACCCCGCTCTTGCTCTGTTCTGAATTTCACTGGCTTCTGGAAACCCGCCTGTATCATGGACATGTGTCTGCCGTCACTGATAATGGAAGAGAGATCCCACTAATTTCTGAAAGCCGGGGAGTGTTCCACTTGAAACTCTAGTTTGATAATTGTAATACCTTACCCACGCCAAATCGATTGCAAAGGCATCAAAGTCTCACTGAATATTGTGATAAGGGTTGTATGACATATCGCTCCACTTGAGTACTCGTTAAAATGAAAACTACACTTCAGGATTCGCGATAGTGACATCGAGGCATCTCCATCACAGTTAGAGACATCAAGAGGCTCAAAAGAAAGTATTGTACTGAAACGGCCCATTACTATGTATTATTCTGTGCAGACAAGTGTCAGCATATATATACCAGCGTATTCTATTCGAAATTTGGGACGTACGATTTTTCTTTGCATGCACTCACCACGCACTTGATATACACGGTGGCATGCCGAGCGATAGTGAGCACCTTTTTTTTTTAAAGTAAAGTGCATCTTTTAGTACATACTCATGTTTTTACACGCGGAAAAAACTGTATATGTAGGCCTACCACGTCGCTGACTCATGACCGTGACCGGTCATCAAATTGTTTGCCTTTCATGTCGCTTCCTAATGCTATTATTTTGCCCCACAAGCAACTTTTTAAACCCGTTTTATATCTTCTTTATTATTCATTTTAATAATTTTTATCCTTCGATCCGTTACTTGTATATGTCTGGTTAATGTATATGTTGAATAACGCCGAACAACAAAAATCAATGAACAGATCATTTTTACCTGCGACACAGTCATGCAACTGTAAAGTCTGTAGATTTAATCTTCTTCTAATATATTGCAAACAGAGGTCATTACCATTCTGCTAAAGCTAGGTCCGAACATAATTGTTCTTTGTTTTAATGGTAATGATATTTTAGGAGCCAGCATCTACAGTGAAATATCTGTTTGTGTGGGGAAAAAATTGACCAAAATTATCTAGATAACTATAAATCTCGATCTAAAATTATTTCCTGCATAGAATAACAAATGACGTTGGCTAAAATAAATGTGCGAGTAATTTCTTTCACGTGGGCGAATTTATTGCCTAGAATACGTTTCGTTTGGATCTTTAAAAGGCAATATTGGATGCGCTCGAAAAATGTTGCGTATTTCCTACAATCTTTGCTCAGACTTATCCCGAAACATTTTCATTCTTTATGGTAAATGTCAGCGAAGAATTGAAGACTTGGAAATCAGTGATTATATCGATAATTTCTGTTTAGAACCCCACACCACATTTTGTAAGTCTCATCCGCCGACACGCGAGAAAGCAGATTTGGCCCTCTTTTAATTAATTGAAGGAATAATTAATTTATTTGGAAATTAATTAAAGGAAGTTCTACAAAAATGAGAAAAACGAAAATATTCACCCACAATCATGCTTCATATATTTCTAAGTGCTACAAATCTAACGTTTTTTTTTTAAATAACAATAAATAAAATAAATAAATAATCAAATCGGGTGTGACTACTGGAGAGGGGAAGCACTAAATTTGGCCCAGGAAAAAAAACCGAGATCGTTGACGGTAATATAAATAGTACCGCTATCTGCCTGATGAAAATAGAACAACGGAAACCAGAACTGCAACTTATCTGAATGATATTTAACATTAAGTAAATGCTTTCCCCAAAGGGAGCATCATTTTGCAAAGCACCTGGTCGTTATAGTCTCAAGACATTTGCTTTCCACTTTTTCTGTAAAACTGATCAAACGAAAGGGTGAGATTGTAGGTTTCCGGTTTAACACGAACAGTCAACGACATGAATTACCTGAAATACACGGTATTGGTGTTTCTCTTTTTCTTCTCTTTTTTTCCCAATAGTGCTGTATAGAATATTGGGCTATTTAACAGAGACTTGGGTGACCCGCACAGAGTGATTATGTCTCTAATAACACGCTCTTTACGTGTTCGTTTCTTATTAAGGTTTAGAACTTCATCAATCACTCCCATCTCGAGTGATTTCGCACCCCATCATTTGGTGCGTCAGTAAGGGCGTTTTAAAATACGTTTCGATCTGTAAGACTGGTATTGATAAGGGACCACGTATTAGGGGGCAAAGTGTTTCCCATTCCGTCAGACAAAAAACTTATCCGGCTATGTACTGCTCTATCTATCACATTTACATTGAAGTCTCAGTAAATCAAGTAGTTTTGTACTGTTCTTTCTATCAATTTACATTTCAGTCTCAGTAAATCTATCAGCTTTAAATGATGGTAAAAGTATTCACAAGATCATCGTGAAATTAATAGCATAAGAATAAGTACTTTTTTCTAAAAGCTTTCCAAGGGATAATTCCCCTTGCAATCATAACTGAAAGCGTATGTATTGTTTTACACTTTTTTTCATAAAAGTGTGATCATCAAACCGATGAACATCAACCGGTTTTCTCAGGACGCGGATCGATGTGATCGGCCAAGCAGGAAATTGACGTTGAAATAGATACATGGTCGGGGAAATTGCCTATGCAATAAATCCCGTTTTAGGAAATTAATTGAGGGAATGTAAATATTTATTTACAGGAATGATCACGAGTAGTACGTACAGGTTCGGCTCTTGAAGATCACTGCAAACCCAGGTCGGTTTTAGAAATGACGGGAAATAATATGCCGGTGAAACGAGTAAAATAATTCATCATTGGAATTCAATCTAGGTGAGCGCTTATCTTGATTACGCCCATCTTTTTCCGGGTGACTTCAAATCACTCTCTCTCTCTCTCTCTCTCTCTCTCTCTAAGAAAAATTATAAAATACATCGAGAACAATAGTTATATAGTTTTATTCTTCCCGTACAAGTTTACTAAAACTCTATCATATAATTATTATCAGTATGTGTAAAAAAAAACAACTAATTCTTATGTTGTAATACATCTGAGGTCAATAACAAAAATGGCATCTACAATGAATCTCCGTAGAGAAAGTTTTGTGAAATATGGAAACATAAATGTTGATCAATACTTGCACATATCTTGATTTTGTGCCTAGCTATAAACGATTGCTCGGGTCACGCTGACACCAATTCACCACTCCACTAACCTCGGCTATTATCGCCACCGTTCCGGATTTAGCCGAGGTCTGTTTCTCATTTGACACTTGATCTTGATGAGTCACTTATATCCAAAAGCTATTACATATGTAACCTGTTATTGCAGGTGTTATATACCGCTTCAAACAAGCTCACGTCTGGCAGAAAAGTCCAAAATACATAGATGTACATATGAGCATTAAATTTTAATTCGATAAACTTTCGTCTCTTTGTTTAAATCAAGGTACTGTGTTAAATGATCATCTAACTGCGTCTGGTAAATAATACGCCAGGTAAATAATATAAAACATGAAAATCCGTAACGACATTTATTCCATGATTATAAAAATGCCTTGAAAACTGACTAGCATCAAAAACGATAAAAATGTTGAGATAATACTGGTACATTTATAATAAGTATTTCCTAGCGATCCTTGATTACAGAGGTTTTAGTCTGTGCTATCTGAAACTTTCATTGTCTTTTTAATTAGTCAAAAGAGACTGTATACAAAAAGGCGCCACATAGTAAGTTAAGTCTATGGGTAGCCACGCTGCTAAATGTTAATTAAATTAAAATGTAGACATTTAAAGGGCGTGGTTGCGAAGTACTCCTCGGTCCGCATCTATCGGACCTGTATTAGACGTAGTCTTTTCTAGTCAAATCAACAACTACAACTTCATGACGGTATACTTAACTTGAAGTTGGTTTTAAGAAAACGACAAAAAAATTCCTGATTCATTTGTTGGAATTCACCATGTACTCACGACCCGAACCCCTCGAGCCAACGGTTTCTGCAATAATATTTTCTATGAAACATGTTCGAATATCTTCCATCGGGAAATTAAACAGAACGTTAGCGTGATCACTGATGATATTCAATGGGATCACGACCTTTCTATAATTCCATCGTCTCTGCAATTCCATATCGCTGAAAATGTTCTGATATTTTTCTTGCATGTGTTGCCCTTAGCGTCATGGCCTCTATGAGAGATTTCATGTTATTGTTCGCTGTTGCCGTGGAATGAATGAAAGACGTCAGAGACTCCAGCCCGCGTATAGAAAGGTTCACATCCAGACCTAAAATGTGAATAAATAAATAAACTTAAATATGTCGTTGTTTTCCATTTTCGAAGACATGTAAGGATGAATCTTTTGGAATTTTTTTCGAAAACGGGGAATAAAACATAGATCTGGATGATATTAAAATATGGGTGTTTTCCACCATTTATAATTACATATGAATACGAAGAGAGATAAAACAACTGGAATGAAATCAAATCATGTTAGAAGCGTTATAATGGCGGGGTTAACACGCATTAGACTAAGAGTACATATCACAACGTGAGATTAATTGGGGTAATTATCTCTCCTTTAGTTTTTGACCTTTTCAACAAAACCGCACGTTAATGGAAATTAAAAGTGAAAATTGTTTCACGGAGGCCCAGGAAGATCACAGCAAGGTTGTTTCATCTTTACAACAACAACAACAACTTTGTTTTTCGGAACTCATCTATGAAAAACATACAAAAACTTAAATAACGTTATACGACGTCAAATTACATCATGCGTATTATTATTATTATTATTATTATTATTATTATTATTATTATTATTATTATTATCTTCTCTGTCCAATCAGTAGAATGGTGGTGGTGTGGGGTGTGGGATGTGGGATGTGGGTGGGGGTGGGTGTGATGGTGGGGGAGGGGGACCTACCTGAGTGGAAATTTAACGTCCTGGCTGCATCGCCTTCACATGTCACAACGATGTCTTCATCTTCTAAGTACATCACAGTCTCTCGCCTCCAACAGAGTTTGATTTCGAACAAACGCGGACTGAATTTAAGCTTCTTCAGTGCTTGGAGATCAGTGATTTTGCTTTCCGTGTCTGTTTTGTAAGTATTGAAGCACTCCTTGAATATGTTTCGCATTATCTAAAAATGAAAATGATCGATTTTTTGATAACACGAATTCATTTGACAAACACTGATTAAATCATCAGGTTCTGTGATGTTGCTCTTCCTGGAAGTGAAAAGAGTGTCAAAAATAAGATAATTATCGGGATGTATCGTGAGATATTCGCCCACTCTGGAACATCATTACTGAGGCACGGTTTTAGCCTATCGTGATGAACGATTTTCGACTTTTTTTTTTTTTTTGGGGGGGGGGGGTCCTTATTTCAAACATGAGGTCACTCAGAATTTTGCCAACAGCAAGGGATCTCTTCCACTCTTCCACTTCTGGGCCTTAAGCACCCTAATTTTAGCAAAAAAAGGTTGATTCTTATAATAATGCTTCTGTTCTTTCTACCGATGTCCCTTTGTCTGGATAGGCCGGGAGTTTGCCTGATGGGGTATATGGGTTGCCGATGTGTTGTATACGTGTATTTCATGAAATAGTGGACTTCAAGGTAAATGTGGAAGGGGTCAATCCTAAAAACGAGATCAGGAATGAATGGTAGTGGTCTGCCAGGATACCAGGACTAACGAGACAGATGCAAAAAGGGGTCTGAACATACGCTGCTGCTACTGCTATTCTGGGCAACGGCAAAGGTTGTAGGATGAGGAAGAGGAGGGAGAGGAAGATACTGTAGAAAAGCTGTTACTTTATGGTCTATAAACTTGAATGATACCGTAGACCAGCTGCACACACACGTGTATATACTTACAGAATGGTCAAGCGCCACCTTTAGCGCCTTGATGAGATTAGAATCACATTTTGGCACTGCCAGGGACATGTAGCGCTGCCGATCACTCCCGAATATTTTAAGGCTGAAGCCGCATTTTTCATCGACTTTGAAGTCTTTGCCATAAAAGGCAGAAAGGTCAAAGGTCAGACCATGAACCCTGATTTCGGGAGAAGGGACAGGTCTTTGGTCAGTACGTTCAATGCCCGCTACAGCGCCATAATATTTGCACGATTGTTGGGTCCACTCTTCTCTGAGACCCAGCGTCCGTGCCGCTTGACCATTAAGACCGTCACATGCGATGACCATCACACGCCCTGGAATCTTCTCCAGTTCCGATATGGAGTCTTTGGTAAACTGTAAGAGATTAAAAATTTGAAAATTAAAAAGGCATGCCTCTCACCATTTTTACTTTTTATAAAATTCATAAAAAATATTTATCAAAAAAAGAGACTGCGCATTATCGCAACAGTTGGATATAATAAACTACCAGTGGTGTAATCATCTCGTGAGACTTTCCTTTCCATTAAAGAAGAACTAAGTATCTCTGACGCAATTTAATTTTGATCGAATGCCCACTCAGATCCTACTGGTCGCGTGAAAGGGTTTTTGCATCACTAATAATAACATCGTTAGCGCAGATTGATGTAAGAGAGCGAAAAGGTCAAGAAAATGGCATGCTATATTGTGTAGAGATTGCATGTGCGACGATGTTTTTTTTCCATCGTCAAGTAGCGAGAAGTAATTTTTGGGTAAAATTAACTTCTTTTTCCAATTATTTCGTGTATAATTTTCCCTGTGCTGGTCTCTTTCAACGTTTATGTAACAGTTTTTTTCTTCCACATAATTTTATTCATTTTGAAACGACCTTTTTGACTCTCTTTTTTTCTTTTAACAATCGTTATATCAAACCACAATTCCACACCTTTATCATACATTCCATACACAATATCTCTTATTGCATGCGCCTTATACTTTTCACAACGATATTGTATTGCTTCAACCTTTTGATATATTGCCTCTTTTGTAAAGGCTTCCTGTTTTTTGGAGAGTCTTATTCTTTTGATGACAGCATCTAACATTACACAAATATATTTCTGTTAAATGCGTTATAAGTGATGGAATTACCACTGCGCTAAATATCGGTTTCTTGCAGAGGTGCAAGTAAACACAATGCACGTAAAAGTTAGGTTAACCCTAAGACAAAACAGTCTATCTAGAAAGAAAATCTGTTCATTTACAAAAAGAAAGAAAGAAAAGAAATATCTTTTGGTAGAACACCCAATGTTAACGTTCTCTTTTCGACCATTTCGTGCAAACTTTCGAACATTTCGTGCAAACTGGCTGCTGTAGTAAGTTTGGATTTCGTTTGGTCCAAAACAAATCATCACCGTTTTTCACCATCAAAGAAGTCGGTGGAAGATTTCGTACTGAAGTGAATATAATGATAAAACCTTTCACTTCAACACAAATTATTCGCCTTTATTACTTATTACTGAAACAATAAACGAATTTTTCTATTCCACATTTTGGAATTTGCTGGTCAACAATGCTGAAGCTGTTAAGACACGGGAAAACGGCAAAATGTTCGTGGATGCACTTTGAAATGTTTATTTTAATATGCTTGGTAAGTTGCACGTTGGATAGCACGTGCTCACGACACTTACAAATTGCTTTTATAACCTGCGGGTAGGCCCTCGTGGTTTGTTTAACATTCAATTAACATGTTATCGGAGTAATTATTTAAAGTAAAGATGACCTTCATGTATCCGAGTTTTTTTTTTCATTAGCCAGGTCACTCAATATCGCGTAGAGAATTTTAAGTATTCTTGAAAAGCCAACTGCTACTGTCCCGTAGCGCCCGCTAGCTTAGATAACGTCTTTATATCTTGTAAAGTTAAACTGTAGTGGTTTTCTGACTCCTACAGATATAACAAGACAAATTCAATGTATTACTCCCCGCGGGCTATTTTCCTGGAAGCATTCAACTCGAACAGAGAGTGATATCCGGCCTTTCTAAAACAATCTATCAATTTCCTTATTAGCCGAGTACCCGTCGGAAGCGGAAAAAGAGTTGTCGTCCCCAACGCAGGTATCTCAGGTTAACTTTCTCAAGGCACCAAGCTAGTGATTTCTTCCTCGCGTGTTTAGTTAACCGTCGGGTCTTGCTCGTTTTTATTCCGATTTGTTTCCGTCAGCAAAAACATTTCCGTTCAAATTCGATAACAAGTTGTTTCGCAAGCAAAACTTGCATGTTTTTTACCGCAAACAGACAAACTACCGGTTTCTAAGATTGATTTATGTTCTTAAACAGATCAGAGTAATAAAAGCAAGAAAAGATGGCTGGATCAGTAAGTTATACTGATTTACCTGCCAATGTTAAAATACTTTGCCCTACTTTGTCTCTCTATCCAAATATGTTTCCTTCAGATTTTTATTCACCTTGCATAGTACTGCACATGCACCTTTTTACTTAAAATAAAAATAAAAAATACCAGGTGTGACGAAACTGAGGGTACGTGTAACAGAAAGTCCACTCTCCATTTTATTATACAGCTTAGGGTTAGTCTGACGTAGCCTAAGTGGGTCAAACACCAAGGCGAGGCTTACTTGTGCAAGTTAATAAGAACCGGACTCTCTATCATGGGGGTCTGTCTGCCACTTCACACTACCCCTCCCATCCCAGAACTTTAACAACCGTTTTTCGACCTTTTCCCTCTATAGAATCAATCCGCGCTTACAATACTGAATAACAGAAAGAAAAATGCACGCACCGGTAAAATTTACTCTAGCGCTTACAAAACTAATGGATGCCGAACCCAGACAATTTCCTGCAATATCCTATTGCCATGGTTTTCAGTGATTATAAAGTACACTGGGCGTCTCTCTGTGCGAAGTAATATAGATTTATTACATTGCCAATGGAAAATACTACTGCGATATCAGTGCAAATATCACTGTTCATCAAATATGGTATTAACCGTATCGACAATAACGCAGGAATTACTGTATGGATAGACAGTACAGACAAGAGAGTTCTGGCACGTCCATCATGTTGGACATAGGATAGTATAGCTTTCACTTATAAAACGATATGTGTATAATTTGATAGGCTACCAACTAATAAGGAAGTCGACAGAACGTTTAGATAAGAATGGACAATTGGAAAGGGAATGGCAACTTTCAGGAAGAGAAAGACACATACTCGATGTTATTGGTATGAAGGAACTGGGCGCGTGCATTTTTATATTTCTGTCTAATTTCCTACAATTTTCTCTAGATGCAAATATGTTAAAGCCAGACCTTAGCCGATCAATGTGGAAAGCGGACCAACAAACTGCCCACTTCGGCTCAAGTCCATAATCACACGTATGGGACCCTATCCAAATGAAGTGTATAAATCATAAGAAGACCAGAGACATTGCAACCTGGGCAGTATTGAGCAGCTGATTGATCAAATGTCGAGTTATAAAGTAATGTATAAAACGGGATGCAGAATACACAATATCGTGATTGATTGAACTTTGAGCTGTCAGATGACGAAGTAATGGCTACCCTGGACTCCGAAGTGAAAGGGAATTTATTGATTTAAACATAAATCACGTTATGTGCAAGTTCTAGTGAGGACTTTGAGGGCATTTGAAAAAAGCCCACAAATCGTTTTCTTAATCCTAGGGACGGAAACTTGATAAGTTAACGATGGCAAATTATTCTTACTTATCTTCACCTGGGGCCATTCACTCTCTCGCGTGTTAGGTAGAACCACATTCACTCCATAGCCCAATCACTCTCTCATTTTGGCTAATTCGATCACTCTTCCTAACAAACGTCTCATCTACATGCACGTGACCTTTAAGAACACTCGCAGTCGCCGTGTCACCCAAAGATTTCGTACTGGTATCTTTGAACAATTCAATCAACCTGCGCGATAAGATTTGCTGTGTTCCTAATGCTTACAGGCAGTTACCAATTACCAAGTTTCCCCGGAGTGACAGAAACATAGTTTGAACTATGGAAATGATCTAATTGATTGACCGTTGCCCGACAGCTAGACGCTAATTAAATTTTGGAACCGGTGCAGATCGGACCCATGAGACGCAAAGAGATACTCAATCTCAGGAAACGAACTCGAATAGAATAAGGCAAAGAGAACATAAAAAAGTGTCAATAAAAGAATGAAATGAATGCTCTAAGTAATGTATTTTAACCCACATCAAAGCAATGGTTAACAATCCCATTCACTAAATTCCGGGATTTCTAAAGTTCTTGAATCCGCTAGATCTCGGAGCATTACATCGTACTCGGAGTTTCAAAGCAACTTGTTTCAGCATTTCTCTCCTAGCAAGTTTGTACGCTACACGGGGCAATGATAGACAATAAAGACACTAGCCTATATGGAATTCAGTTTATATAGTTTTTATTATTATTATTTTTTTTTTTTTGTTCAGCTGCCTTGTGTGTTGGACAGTTTGCACATCCTTCAAACAGTGCACATGGCTTGAATATGCATGTATGCTAGTATTGCCCAGTGCTTGTTCATGAATATCTCTATCTGGATCTCTTGGGATGTCACGCAAATGCTAAAAGGCATGGGCGAAGCCATTACCCACATCAAAATGCACCGTAGAAAGCATAGAGTGAAACCTAAAACCGTGCCTTATTTTATTCCGACCGTCATTGGTTCTCACTGTATCTAATGTGTTTACAAGTCTGGTGGCATTATTAGCAAATGGTAACATGTCTCAAAGGATATATGTTAACTTTTCTCGATGCATGATTGTTTAATTAATATACAGAGTTTTTAAATATATATGTTCAAATATATTTGAATAAGAAAATAAGTTTTTGTGACTTCTGTTGAAGTGTCTTAATCAATTACATATTGTTCTAAGCAAAAATTACTTTGTAAAACATAAACCAATATCAGCATAGATAACTAAGGGTTCTTTATCTTTATTCCGTCAACCCGATACTAACCAAGAGCGAATATGAGGTACTCCCGTAAAATCAAAACAAAACAAGAAAATATCAAAAACCATTGATTTTTCAGGCACGGAATTTCACGTCACAGATGTATTTTGTATAAATATTACATATTCAATTTCACCTATACTAATCACAAAACCATTACCATTACCAAACCTCTCTCCGCGTCATGTCATCCTCTGATATATGCTTTTTACACTTAAGTAAGTGTTATGTAGTAAAAACAAGCGTAAGATCCGTGACCGATAAAATCTGCATCGGAAATGGCGACGGTTCGTAACATGTTGGAAGAAACGCCGTAGATAAAATAACATGCTTATATAGTGTTACTTATGCTGCTCCGTTGACCACTACCAGTAGCTATGGTTTAT